ACAAAATAATAACCGTAGCTGTGGAGTCATAATGAGGTGTTTCAGCTGCAGGACAGCAGTGAAGGCCTAGGTATAAAATGCACGGCCTGCCACTGAATAAATGTATTTTATTTGCTAAGTTGGAGGCGAGGCTTAGTGAGTTAGAAGCACGGCTCCGCACCATGGAAGCTCAGTCGTCATTAGCTAGTGTAGTTAGTTAGCCAGCCAGCCAGCCAGCCAGCCCCCCGGTGCGGGCCAACCAGACGGAGCTTCTGCTAGCCGTCCCCCGGCAGCCGCCGGTGTGCGAGAAACTGGTTTTGAATTGTGAGCACGGAGGCTCCGGTATCTTCTCCCAGAGGGCAGGAGGCTGAAGAGACTGTGTGAGAGGTGGCTGGAGTCGCGCACAATCATGGTCACTTTGTGGGTGAGGCGAGTGTCGTATATGTCCTGCAGGGAGGGGAGTGAGGCACCAATGATCCTTCCAGCTGTGTTCACTATGCGCTGCAGGGCTTTCCTGTTGTAGTCAGTGCAGCTTCCGCCCCACACAGTGATAGTTTGTCAGGATGCTCTCAATGGTGCCTCGGTAAAAGGTGCACATGATGGGTGGTGGTGTTTTTGCGGAGAAAGTAGAGGCGCCTCTGGGCTTTCTTTGCCAGTGATGTTGTGTTGGCTGTCCACGAGAGGTCCTCACTGATGTCCACCCCCAGGAATTTGGTGCTGCTCACTCTCTCTATATCAGCACCATTGATGGTCAGTGGTGGGTGTTGAGTGTGGCCTCTCCGGAAGTCAACAATAATCTCCTTGGTCTTGCTGTTATTCAGAAGGAGGTTGTTGTCTCTGCACCACGTGGTCAGAAGGCTGACCTCCTTCCTATAGTTCTGAAGCAAGAATTTATTGATCTGTTAAACAGTCAGCTCTGTCAAGGCTGAGGTGTTTATCAGTGGCCCTCTTCCACCAGTCAGAGGAGGAGATGAAGGATTCAGCAGGCTGTTTGCACTGAACAAATGACTGTCAACTGCATGTACTGACCATTCAGTACATTTTATCAACAATTTCTACCTTTTCTGGGAGCGCAGACATCTTTTTAAGGCACATGGAGTTTGCTTGAACAAGTCAGGGGTAAAACTGTTTACCTCTAACCTATTTTTCTCCCTGCGTCATCCATCTGTTCCTACTGCCAAGGACAAGAGACAAGAGTCGTCTAAACAAGAGATAACCACACAGCATCGCCATGGAGACCTTACGGGAAGGATACCCCCGCCTAGCGACAGCCAAAAGGAGGAGTCTCCAACCTCATCAGGGACCGCCTCCGATCTCCCACTTTCCCCACCCTTCCGAGACGAGGAGTCTTTACCTCCCTCCCCAGCACCTACTTCCACCCCCCAAACTCCATCCAGGTCCCTTTCCTCTCTCACACTCTCCCCATCTGGAGTTCACTGACCACATGAAAGAGCTGGTCATTGCTGGAACCAAACACACTCCTCGCCCCACTCCACGACGTACAGCTCCGGCCCCACCCCCGAAACTGCCTCCTAGTCCTCAGCCACTTTTGACACAATCAGCGAAGTTAAAGCACCCTGCCCTTCCCCCACCTCGGCTCCACAACCATCCTCTGTCTCCCCTACCTGATAAAAGGCAGGGCAAGGCAGGACAGGCCGGTGCGGAGGACTCAGAGCTGGAGTGATGTGATCCACTATCTTGGACGCTATGATTGATATCTTCTGGGTCCAGGCTACAAGGCTAATGACACCAATGACTCTCTCCAGGAAAAGTCGGGGCCCTGTATGCAGCTAGCCTTCTCAATTCCTATCCTGATAGTTCATAGAAAAAGAAAGGTGAGGCTGTGAAGAAACAATAGTAAACCTGCAAACTTAACATACATTCCTCGTCAGCCTGTCCAAATAAATTGGGCAAAGAAAGCTTTAACCACATTAAACTTAGCATTATTAAATGTCAGGTCTCTGTCAGGAAAAACATTTTTAATCAATGATTTTATTGTTAGGCACAAACTGGACATTTTGTTTTTAACTGAAACATGGTTAAATCAAGATAACAGTGCAGCTGTTCTTATTGAATCAACACCTCACAACTTCAGTTTCATGAGTGAAACAAGAGCGCATAAGAAAAGAGGTGGAGTTGCTATTTTATTTAATGATTCTCTTCAATGCAAGCAGATGTCCTTTGGTCATTTTACTTCTTTTGAATATGTGGCTCTGAATTCCACTCAAGCTTTATTCCTAAACATTTACAGACCGCCTAAATACTGTGCAACCTTCTTTGATGAGTTTACTGAACTGCTGTCTATAATCTGTATTGATTTTGACTGTGTTATTGTTGGTGATTTTAATATCCATGTTGATAATCCCCAGGACAGAGGGTCTATAGAACTATGTGGTGTCCTTGATAACTATGATCTGACTCAGCATGTGACAGGACCCACCCACAAAAGGGGTCACACTCTGGACCTAATCATCACCAAAGGTGTAAACATTTCCAAGGTCGCTGTGACTGATGTTGCACCCTCTGATCATTTCTGTGTTTTCTTTGAGAGTGCAATCTCCTTGCACACAAATGTCCAAACCAAGGTTGTGACAAAGCGTTACATCTCTGAAAACACCAGAGAACTATTTATTCAGAAGTTCTCCTCCACACCAGCCCTCTCTTGCATCTCAGTCAATGAGCTTGTAGATGGCTTCACTTTTAAAGTTAAAAATATTATTGATGCCATTGCACCCACTAAAGTGAAGGTTGCCTCGGGTAAGCAAAGATCTCCTTGGAGAAATGCTACGCTGGTCAGAATAGAGAAACGAGAGTGCCGGAAAGCTGAGCGCAGGTGGCGAAAAACTAATCTCCAGGTTCACTGCGACATCTAGAAAGAGAGACTTCGCAATTATAATTTGGAACTTAGAAATGCAAGGCAGTCCTCCTTCTCTGACATCATAAGCAAAAACAATAACAATACACGCGCCTTATTTGCTACCGTCGACAGGCTAACAAACCCTCCAGTGTCGGTAGCTGCTGAGCTCCAATCCGCCTGGGCATGCAATCAATTTGCCTCCTTTTTTTACTGACAAAATTCAGAAAATTAGACAAGCAGTCAGTGCCTCTACACCAACCACAGGATATGTGTTGTCCCCTTCTCTAAATAACATCCATTCAAATGTCATGACACAATTTCATTCAATCGACCGTAGAAGCCTGGAAGACATTATACAACATCTGAAGTCATCCTCCTGCTCCTTGGATATTCTACCAACACACTTTTTCAAAAATATTTCAAACTGCATGACCACTGATCTTTTACAAATTGTAAACACATCCCTTCTCTCAGGTGTCTTCCCACAAGCCCTAACAACTGCAGTTATTAAACCGCTCCTAAAGAAGGCTAGTTTAGACTCCGCAACAATGAACAATTATAGGCCAATATCAAACCTCCCATTTTTAAGCAAAATAATTGAAAAGGCGGTTTTCCAACAGCTGAACAACTTCTTGAATAACTGCTTTGATGTTTTTCAGTCAGGCTTTCGACAGCACCACAGTACTGAAACTGCTCTTGTTAAGGTTTTCAATGACATCCACTTAAACACAGACAATGGCAGAAGTTCAGTCTTAGTATTACTGGATCTCAGTGCTGCATTCGACACGGTCGACCATGCCATACTCCTAGAAAGACTAAAAATCTGGGTGGGACTTTCTGGCACAGCACTTAACTGATTTGAATCCTACTTGAAGGACCGAGAATACTTTGTGTCTGTAGCTAATTACACATCAGAGCTGACTAAAATGACGTGGTGTTCCCCAAGGTTCAATACTGGGGCCTCTTCTGTTCAACATCTACATGCTTCCACTAGCTCAGATTATGGAAAACAACAAAGTGTGTTATCATAATTATGCAGACGACACACAAATCTACATAACTATGTCACCAGGGGACTATAAGCCCATAAAAGGGCTGGGTAACTGCATTGAACAAATCAACAACTGGATGTGCCAGAATTTTCTTCAATTAAACAAAGACAAAACAGAAGTAATTGTTTTTGGTACCAAGGACGAATGATTGAAAGTCACCGCTCAGCTTCAATCACTGATGTTAAAACCCACAAACCAAGCCAGAAATCTAGGTGTAGTTATGGATTCAGACCTCAACCTGAACAGCCATATCAAGACAATTACAAAATCAGCCTACTATCACCTGAAGAATATGTCAAGGATTAGAGGACTTGTGTCTCAACAGGATTTGGAAAAACTTGTCCATGCATTTATCTTCAGCAGACTGGACTACTGCAACGGTGTGTTTACAGGTCTCTGTAAAAAGTCTGTCAGAAAGCTGCAGCTGATTCAGAACGCTGCAGCTCGAGTCCTCACTAAGACCAGGAGGGTGGATCACATCACTCCAATTCTGAGGTCTTTGCACTGGCTTCCTGTCAAACAAAGAATTGACTTTAAAATCCTGGTGTTGGTTTATAAAGCACTGAATGGTTTAGGGCCAAAATACATCTCTGATCTGCTGCTACCTTATGAACCATCCCGACCCCTTAGTTCGTCTGGGACTGGTCTACTTTCTGTTCCCAGAGTCAGAACTAAACATGGAGAAGCAGCGTTCAGTTTTTCTGCTCCACATATCTGGAACAAAGTCCCAGAAAGCTGCAGGTCTGCTGAGACCCTCAGCTCCTTTAAATCAAGATTGAAGACTTTTGTTTGCTGCTGCCTTTAATTGAACCAGATTCAATTAATATATTAATCAATTTCCTGCATTTCTGCATTTTACTACTGTATTTTATTTATTACACTGTTTTTTAATGTTTTAATGACTGTTTTTAATTGTTTCAATGAATGTTCTTAATTGTTTTTAAATCTCCTTTTCTTTTGCCTTATATTTTGATGCTTTTAATGGTTTTATGTGAAGCACTTTGAATTACCTTGTTGTTGAAATGTGCTATAC